TGTGGAGGTACAGGGGGCAGTATATATACTACATATGTATAGACAAAGAGGAAGCAGAAAGTCACATTTTAATTTCACGCCATGGATACTACACTACAAGGGAGGCAAGGTGCACAGGGTAATCTCTATTGTGAGATGTAGAGAGAATAAGCATGTAAATAACTATTGCAAGTAGAGGAAACATGAAATAAACATTTAGCTATGTAGTTCCTGTGTATTTAGCCACTATCAATGTAATGGAGGACTATTTGTACACCATAATCGCAATGTAAACACACAGAAGGTAAGGTTCACAATACGTCACATTGCCATGTCGCACCGTGCTGCATCGACAGGGCAATGTGACATGTTGTGAACCCAGCCCAAGGGATAATGGGAGAAAGAGAGAGAGCCTACCTTTTTAAGTAGGTGAGGTCTTGCTGGTGCAGCAGATAGTGGGCCAGTGGGAGACGATGGTCACTGGGGAGGGTCACCACGGCTCCGTTCCGTTCTATGAACTGTGGTATGGACTGGGACTGGAGTAGAGGTGGCTGGAACGGGGACAGAGCAGTGGAGGCTCCACACGAGACGCCCCTGCAACACGTGTATGCACAGCGACTAACATTATGTACACAGCCCACACTGATGTATGGTACGATGGTCCACACAACTGAAATAGAAGTGTTGCTATTGCATACTACACATGTTGCATGGACCTGTATATATGTATCATACCCATACATTGAAAGTGCATGGCTCAAGGTGTGTGGTGTTTGTTGGCCTGAACTAGAGTGATGTCCTACCATGTCTGGTAAAGATGGCTGCAAGTTTGGAGACCACCATTTGTTGCAGCAGAGAATACACCAGAGAGAACTTGTTCTGAGAGAGAGAGAGAGAGGAGAGAGATGGAGATAAGGAATAAACATGTGCCCAGTTTAAGCTCTAAGAGCACACCCTGCGCTCCATGCAAACAGTAGCAAAGCTGGCATATTATGTCTGCAGAACAACATGGACTTGTGTCAACACACAGATTCTCACTCTCTTGGGTCTGTCTCTCTTGTTGTCTGCAGGCTCCTGGTAGAAGGACCACGGCCTCAGTTGAGGAGCATCTCCCGAGAACAGCTTGTCAATCAGATGTTGGTAGCGAGTGGAGTTGGTGGACTGAGGGAGAAGAGGGAGGGGAGGGAAGGAAGGTAGAGAAAGAGAGGAACATAAAGCGTGAATAGTACTAGCAAATGGCTGAATAGAAAACGACTCAATGAGTGAAATAAACATGAGCTTCAAGGGGGTTGGTAAAGTTACCAGAATGACATCTTACTGGTTCCTATTGTTTAGTTCTAAATCTAGCCCTCACGTATTGCAACATTCGTAAAATTTAGCAGACTAAACCCTCCACAAAAAATCTTGTTTCAGCACTGATGTTGAGACCTGCATGGTTCTTGAGAGGACTTCCTCCAACTGTTCGTCCTCCATCTTGAGTGGCAGGAGGTGGGACTGGAGCAGATCCTTGGCCGAGGGTCTGGAGTGATGGTCGTGCGTCAACAGCCACCGGATCACCTCCACCTGCACACACACACACACACACACACAACACACAGAGCATCATGTGAGTATCACTAGAGTAAATACATCACCCATGATCCTAGAGTAACAAACCCACTTCCCCCTTAGGAAATTCCATACCTATGACATCACAACTCTCCTCTATAAATACCCCACTTTGCGTTAGTAGAACCATAGGATTGCAAGTCCCCCAAAGAGCCTAAGGTATGTGACTGTAACTACTTCAATACAGTACTGTAAATGTGTAGATTTTACATAAGAGTCTGTGACATAGGATGTGTGGGGAGAGTTGGCTAGCCATAAAAGATCTTTAACCCACCGTCCCCAGTTCTCAAGGCTGGGCATCCATGTCCTACTCTTGTGCTTGTATACGTAGAACATACACACACATACTGTTCCGCTCTCGATGTTCCCTATTACTTCCATAACTTAGGTGTCCTTACAAATGTATAATATCATAAAAATAACACACAAACTATAGAGTAGAATAATAGCTCAATATTGCCCAATATACGTCCCCAAGTAGAGTAGAAGTGAGTCAACAGTTAAAGATGCATACACTTTGGACCACTAGTCAGCCACACGCGGTGAGGTTGGCACACGCCTCCCACAATCTAGGACTATCTTCCTTTTCTTCCCCCAATACCCAACAGACACACACACACAGCCATGCTTACACAAACTAACACTGACTATCATAGCCTCATACATACGTCTGTGATGCTTGTATGTACATACCGTGCTGATCCATACTTAGTCAATCCTCTTGCATAATAGCATATTGTTTTCAAATATTCCCCGTTAGGCCTTGACCTCTGTTATCACAGTACGTGTCTCAAGTTACATACATTCCATGAACAAGAGTCACAGTATATATAGTCGGCCTGACAACTCTGGAGATCAGCCAGCTTCTTTTTGCAGTTGAACCCAAAAGGACAATATATATATTTCATGGGTGTTAACCTGACTGAACCTACTCCGTCACCAAGCAGTGTAGTGCATGATGTAATCAAACATAACAAGAATTCCTGATTAACCCTCCACAAACAAACAGTTAAAAACCTAAACAGTGATCTATTTCTGATTAACCCACACAAACAATTTAACCACCACGGAATTAAAAAATGTAATAAATAAACATACACACATTGTGAACTGGGTGACTCATTGTATGAATGTTTGTGACGGACGAGGTCACGTGACCAAGTGTGAGGATCATGTGATACAGCAATGATGTCGCATGCATGATTGAGATCATGAAGCAGTGATGTGAAGGTTGCCGAGTGACTCGAGAGAGTTCAGAATAGTCTGACAGTGTTCCGAAGAGTGGCTGTACACAAATACCATGGACACTCTGAGCAGAGGGAGAGAGGGGAAGAGGGGGGAGGGGGGAGAAAGGAGAGAGTGGGAAGGAGAAGGAGGGGAGGGGGAGAAGAAAACAAAGTGTTCTAATTAATTGGCCAGTGAAGCAAGACCTCGTTGTCTGAATGTGAAATTTGTCCGTACAGGCACTGCCACACATCATACGTCATTCTAAATAGGTACGCGTGAAACACGCGGAAAATCAAACAGCTCACTTTGCTCACGACAAAACGTAAAGTATAGAGAGGTTCATATCGTTTCACATGTAATATCGCACCTTTTCTGCAGAAGTTCCTCAATACTCTCGCAGACTCTAGTGACGTACTTCTTGTTTAGCGCCGAGTGTCTGGAGAGAAACGACACACATTCATTGGCACTAAGATCATTGTCACGGCTTATGTGAGGGAGAGATTCTTGTGCTCCTGTCATCTCGGATGAAATGATAAAGAATAGTAAATATTTCGCATACCTCTCGGTGAGGGACTTGACAACCGACACCATATCTCCGCCGTCTGGTCCACATATCTTTCTCTGGAACCACGGAGAGAAACAGAGACATGAAAGGGACATCGCTACATGAAGTAACATCAACCATAGCGAAATCCCCAAGCCAATACTCCTTCTACGTTATAGTATCTTGGCCAAGACACACCAAGAAACGTGCGTGTGGCAATGCTCCATTGCACTTTATCCCCATGATAGTCCATGCAACACACAATACAAAAGGCTCCATTTCTTTTCTCTACGGACTTCATACCCACACAATGACGTTACTGCATAAGATTTTAACTCACGCAACAACAAAGTTGCGTTGCGTATCGTGGCGGCCTTCAGACTAACAAGACCACCATCATGTATACCATAATCCAAATGTACATGATGCGCAGGCATAAACAGGAAGGCCTAGGTTCCGAAGCTACACCGTCCCTATTCCAAGTATTGGGCGGTAGTCATGCTTTACTGACGCACACACAGTTTCACAAGAACGGTGACACATGCACACACACACACACTCAAATTCCTGTTATCAGGATCAGTTTTCAGAACAAATCCTTAGTGTGGGGACTGTCATTAGCCGTCCCGCCAAATGAGGAATCATGAGCAGCTATATAGAGAGAGAGCTTACATTGACTTCCGCAGCCAAAGAACACAGGACATCACTTTTAAGGTCCACCTACGCACACAAACAATACCATTCGTCCAGCATTATGATGGTACACAGAGGGACAAATGCACCATGCAATATAGCAGACACTAAACCCTATACATTACACATGCATGGAACAGTTTGTTATCCACTTACCCAAAACTAACTATACTCAATCCAATCTTTCAACCGGCATGAACATTGTGTAAACAGTTCAAATTCTAACAAGCATACTTGACATGCGAGCAACCTATTCCACCGTATTTCATGCGTATCACAAGACACACAGGGTCTCTCAGCCACGTGTATACACACCACCACCACTATCTCCAGAGCTGTTCGGAGGGAACGTCTCCAGCAATGGCCAGAGCAGCTGTCCGAGTCGAAGAGATAAATTGAACTGGGTAATAGGATATACGTAGACTCTGGAGAGAGTCGGGAAGAGTATGAGTGGAGCATTTAGTAGAATTTCAGCGATCTTCGAAAGAAAGTAATAAATCAGAGAGGCTCACAGCATCATGGATCTTTCTCTTGTTGCGGCCACTCAGCTTAGAGGTCGACAAAACAGTCACACTGACTGGTGGTCGTGCGTTGGAGGGAAACGAGTCTGAACCAGAGGGGCCTCCCCCTGATCTGGTGGTTGTCTGAGTCTCTACAGAGTCGCTGCGGTCCGTACTGTATCTCTGCTGCAGAAGAAACTCTGGTAGCTCCGCCACGCCCAGGACTCGCTCCGACGTCTTCCCGTTGGCTTCCAGTGACCTCAATCTAACCTGCTTCCTCTCAAAAAACAGCTCCTTGTCACTCAACACCACAATGTGAGGTATCAGACTCCGGCGGCAGAATTCCTGGGAGGAGAAGGGTTAAATGTCCTCTCAAGCTATTATTGGAACTCGGATATCATTCAGCCGTATCTGCACGAAGCACCAGATCCCCCATAAGTGAATGCCGGCTCTCAATGATTTCAATACTACTGTATGTGAACTGTGAGGTGAACCCTTTGTGCGTGGTGGCTCTATCGTAAACAACTGTCTGTTCTATTTTCAGTTGCCGTTCTGAATTCTACAATTCTATAGCTGCAACTAACTCGGTCCTTTGGTATTGCTCTCTTCCCATGTGCACAGACCTTTACAACAGGCATACGGTCTGTCAAATTGTGTGTTTGTGAGTAAGAGGAGTTGTGGTGGGTACCGTTTTTCTTTTTCAGCTACTGAAGTGTGCCAATTATATATACATACTGCTGCTCATCTTCATAGAATCTCCTCTAAAATCCTAGTAATTGCCTTCACAGATCGAGTTTGCACACTTTGCATTCCAAATGCCTAATCTCATTCCTGACTGAAACTCTATGGCATGCTAAGCCAATATTAACCATATGGAGTATGTATGTATATAAGAAGCCAGAGAGCCTTAAGCATGTCTATTAGTACCGGTAGCGTTGAATAAAGGATGACTTTGCTGAGCTGGATATAGCCTGTTTGTCTGCAACTGGAGTTGCCAAGTGTACATCTGGTATCCCATCAGTACAATACATTCGGTGCGGTTCCATTATGTGCAGCACAAGTTTGCAGTGCGAGTATCTGCCTTCTAGTGAATCTGACATGCATTGCCACCTCAAGCTTCCAGATGTAGCAATACACTAGAACAATCCTCTGATTTCATAAGAATCACTATCCTATTACCAATTTGTAGGACACAAACTCGTTTCGTACATATTTTAGCTCTTATCCCATTACGTGGTAGGGAACTCCTTTCCATAGCTCTTATGCATAACACACTGCCCTGCGAAATTTGCGTTTGCTACCAAAATTTTTGGTAGGTTCTTCATGTAAGCCATCACGAAAATATAACACCTTACGTCCGATTCCCATTCTACATCTATACAGGTTTTCTCCTTCCAATGCTTCCTACTAAATGGTACCACATGTAGCAGGTGGTGTGAACTACCTGAATGTCTTCCAGGGAGTCTAGCTCCTGGTTCTCGTATACCAAGTCAGCTGCCACCCCGTGAGACCACAGCTGCGTGACCAGCTTCAAACACTGAGCCTGCAGTGACTCGTGCCCCAGCCAGCACACCAGGACACTGCTCTTGGTCACTGGACACTGGGGATCACGAGAGGAGGAGGAGAAGGAGGAGGATGGGGAGCAGTTGATTAAACTTTGAATACTTGGTGGACTATGAAATCATAATGCATAGCGCAATCTGATTGGTCAGTTTGCTGACACGTGCACAAGTTCTTGCGTGCTACGCATGTTGCGCGAGCGTACTACGTTTGATGCTAAACAGCATGCATGCAACATTATCCTGGATAATGCTAGGTATGCAACTAACCATACATTGTGTATACATAATATTTTACCCTTCCATGTTGGTATTCAGATGTCACGCCTCTCATAATCTCCTCCCCAACCACACCCATGCCAACCACGCCCATTCCAGGAGAGACTCCGCCCCCACTGGACTTGAGGCCACTCAGCAGTCTGTCGTATCTTCACAGATACATACATACATACAAACATACAGTAGACATTATGCACTGAACAAAGAGATGGCGAGATTCAGGATAGTGAGATAGAGGCGAGATAGGGAAAAGGTTAGATAGAGGCGAGATAGGTATCCCTACCCTCACATACACTAAAAGTGATAAGTATGATGCTTCTTATCAAAGCCACAATAGATGACTGAAAGCACTTCACGACAACTCTAAGGCATCCTGCAGCATTAGTATAATTATATAAAAGTACACAGTATGGGTTGCCAACCAGCTGGATCATGACGCATAAAGATTGTGGAATATGCCAAGTCACTACCTGTTTCCAGCTCCAAGGACCGTTTGCCAAAAATCGCCTGAACTACTGATGGCCTCAAAACACAACATCTTTTATGTCAGATTAGATCATTTTCCTCTTGTGCCCCCTCCATTTTTCCCCACGCACTTAGAGCAGGTACCTGCCAACACTGTTGACAGTAGAATACTTTCCATTCAGATCTAGAGCATGAATTGCCTGGTGACCGTGAATATTGCCAAGAGGTTGACCGAATACAGAAGTCACAGTGACTTGTTTGTGAGGTAGGTTTCCACTTGGCCTGTGGCTGAGTTCACAAAGAACTCTGACAGTGAGTGCCTTGCTTTCATCCCGGTAGCTACCTTTGACTTTATTAATAGCTCCAACTTTGATACATTTTTGTAGTACGTAGGAAGCTACATAATACATTCATCCTCTCACGCCAACTAAAGGAGTTCATATACTTTTGGTGGCAGTTAAAAATTTGGTGATTGACAAAGACACTGTGCACCCGCCTGCACATGTTAGTCCTACAAGTAAGTGGTTATGGTTGTGTTTTGTACATTACTATTGAAGCCCAATTAACACTCTGCTCTTCTGTCTTCCTAGGTAAACTGTGAGCTAAAACTGCAGATATCTCTAAATCAGAGTAAAAGTGGGAGCATGCAGCCGACTCTGTCAGAGGAGTTCTAGTGCTAAGAATGGTAGGCAGGTACATCGCAATGTAGTTGTGAAGCCAAGAAGGACAGACAGACACCTGTTGGAAATTGACACACCTTCCCCCCACACACGGGCACCAGGTCCTGCCAGCTCACCACACACACCATGAGTGAAGTCTGCACACAGATTGAGGTGACAGCCTATGTCACTCTCCTCCGCTCTACACATTAGCAGCTCTAATGACTTGTGAAGGAATTCACCAAAATTCTTCTGCTATGCAACGAGAGATGGTATTGCATGAAGTTTGAAACTTCTCTGCATACCACACAACTTCACAGCATTAGGTGACAAGTCCTTGGTTTGGCATCCTTTGTGTTGGCAAGCACTGCGAAAGTTTAATATTTCGCGTGTTTTTTTGCGCTGTGTGTGTATGAATCACGTAGAACATTACGGTATGTGCAGTGCCCGACAGAGCCGTCACATTATATATAAATGTAGAAAATCCCCGCATTGAAACGACTAGGTAGGCTTGCTTCGCTCTCCAGTAATATTAACCTAAACCTTCCTGCAATGTGCACATTAACCAGCATTGTGGCACACACATATGAGACAGCTAACAAATGAGAGGTGAAGGTTTAATGCAGTTTTATACAATTCTTATAATCACTTGGTGTCCTTAGCTCCATGCAATTTATGTAGTACAGGTTTTGAGTGATTTTCATCAGTTTGTATTTCTATCAGTTAATTCCCCCACTTACTTTCCTAACATGCATACAACTATTTATACTCACCTCCCACCAATAGCAACAGGTATAACCCTGCTCCGATGACGTCGTTGACCCCTATGGACCTCCCCCGTCGTCTGGAACACGGAGAAGACTACTCCGGAGTAATGGTGGTAGGCGGGGGAGAGTGCGGGGTGGAGTAACACCTGCTCCTTACCCCCCAGGAGACGAAAGAGAGAGACGACGCTCTGGATCTCCTGCCACGCCTGCCCTGCCATCACCCCCACCTGCAGGAAGGACAGCAGAGCTCCATATTATTAGAGAGAGGTGCACCATGGGATATACTGTATACAAGTGATTATGAATGAATCTACACATACTTATACAGCACATATATAGGGTCCTTAGAAATGTAGTACATAAATGTACATACACTATCATGCATTGGCATTGAATGGTCAATGATTGTGGGTATAAAGAATATGGTATACGTACAATGGCAGAATCCAGTTGAGACAAGCCAGTATATACTTGAATTAAAGTTTCTTACGACAATCTTTACAATCTTTCCTAAGTCTTTAGTATTGCTTTTCGGTCAGCATACGTATTTGTACTTTGTGGCAGAAAATGGCGGTGAACGAATGCATATAAACTGGTTAGGTATACACTGGCTAAACTGCAGCAGATCTTCGTCTGTGTGTATAGCTACCTTGGACTTATCTCTGAGGAGAGGTTCCAGAAGAGAATGAGACTCATCCACTGGAACTGAAGAACCAACCAACTTCAGTAGAGTACCCACCTAGAGGATGTGGTGGGAAGAAATGTTGTATAAATGATGCTAGGTACCATGCCCATCCCTATATACTAAGTACTACCGTACTTAGTGATCCTGCTGTTCCCAACACTTGACTCTGTACTGAATGAACAAAACTCCCTATCATAGCCCCATACATCTATGATGCTAGGTACCAGTTCAGTAGGACGTGGAATGTATGTATCTTTCAAACATTTTTAAGTAGGTTCATCTTTTACTTGGCATTAACTGAACATCTTATTTGCAACATACTATACACAAGATGCATAAGAGAAAAAAATCTCAAAAAACTTGAATACGGCGATTGTTGAAGTCACTG